AACGAGGCCCCCCCCCGCCACGAAGACGGACATGATGAAGACCAGCAGCAGGCTAAGGATCAGCACCGAGAGCGGCACCGAGGAGCTGCCGCCGCCGGCGCCGCCCGCGGGCGCAGAGCCGCCTGCCGCCGCCGTGCCGTTGAGGCGCACGGTGGAGGAGGAGGGGGTGGTCCTGGCTGGCAGCTGGCCCGGGGACGGCGTGGGCGTGGAGACGACGATGTCCGAGTAGTCGGGGCAAAGCAGCTCCACCCGGACGGCCCGCATGTCGCTCTGGGCAAACTTCTTAGGGGACTCGCAGATAACCTGGTCCACCAGGACACCGGTGTTGAGCTGCTCCAGCCACAGCTTCATGCCCACCACGTCGCAGGTGCAGTCCCAGGGGTTCTCGTGCAGGTCGATCTGGAGCAGGGATTTCAACTGGTCCAGCACCCCGCTCACTGGCAGGTAGGAGAAGTGGTTGCTCCGCAGGCTCAGCCTGTAGAGAGACAGACCAGAAAAAATGTTCCCTGGCAAAGACCTCAGCAGATTGTTGTTCAAAAACAAGAGCTGAAGGTTGGGGACAGGTTCAAAGGTGCCTGCCTCTATTTCCCGGATGACATTGTACTGCAGAAAGAGGTACTGCAGGCTTTGCAGCCCATAGAACAGCTCTGGGCTCAGCCGCTCGATTCGATTCCCATTCAGGTATAGCCTTCGCAAATTAGTTAAATCCCCAAAAGCCCGGTCCTGAATGACCGAGATCCGATTATTGCCCAGGTGCAGCAAATCCAGCCCAGTAGCATCCACAAAATCTGCCCTGCGTACCACAGCAATGTAGTTTTCCGTCAGATACATCTTCTTAGGATTATAGGGTTTGGGCTGCAGTTCAGAAATGCTCTCAATCTTCCTCTCCTGACAATTGACATTGAGGCCCAGGTCAGAAATCTGCAAGTTGCAAGTGCAGGCAGTGGGGCACTCCAAAGGCACCGGGGATTTGGTCTGGTAGGCAATGCTGGGGCCATAGTTGCTGTACCCCAGGTCTTTTGAGGGCAGGCGGGAGGTGGGGCGCACCCTCGTCTTGTTGGGTTGGCGGGTCCCTTTGGGGGGCTTCAAGGGGGATTTGTAAACAGCTGAAGAAGAAGTGGCCACCGAGTTGACCGAAGCTGGGGTAGTGTGGAAGTACCCTGTGGTGCTCAGTGGTGTCTGCGGTCTCATTTCATAATCCGAGATGAGCCTCCGGGGGCACAGCTCCTGCTTGGAGACTTCATCCAAGTCTCGACCATGTAGGCGGAAAGGGGTCTCACAAACCACATCTCCCACCAGTGCAGAGTAGGAGATACTGTCCAGCCAATCCTTCAGAGCAATCAACTCACAGGAGCAATTCCAGGGGTTTTCCTCCAACTGCAGCTCCACCACTTTATCCATGTGCTGCAAAAGGCCCACATAGGGTAACAGCTTCAGCCGGTTACCCCTCAGGTCCAGGTGCGTTAAGGGCACAAAACGGAAAAGGTTGTTGGGCAAACTGGAGAGGAGGTTATCATTGAGAATCAGCACCTGCAGCGAATGCAGTTTGCTGAAGGCATTGGGTTCAATGATGCTAATATAATTATAATCGACCTGTAGATATTCCAAACTCTCCAGCCCAAGGAAAGTGTCATCTCGTAAAAGTTCCAGCTTGTTATTGTTCAGGTGCAGCCTCCTTAAACCTCTCAGACCATGAAAGGCCCCTGTTTCAATGTCTTGTATGTCATTGCTCCCCAGATGCAAAATGGAAGCCCCCGTGTAATTGACAAACTGGTTTGGGTACAGCCTGTTCAAAAGGTTCCCAGACAACAAAAGGTGGTAGACAGGGAACCTTGGTGGACTGATCTCAAAAAGGCTGATGATCCCTCTGTTTTCACAGCTCACTGTTAAGATGCTGTCCTTCTCCTCACAAGGACATGCATTATCACAGATTTCTCCATAATACTCAATGCTTTCTGCCCACGAAAGGACTAGCGATGTTAAAGCAAATGCAATCGTCTGCAGCATCCAGATATGCATTTTTTTGTTGAGGTCCTGTTCCAAAGTTACTGTAGAGCAGCAAGCGTACATTTTATTTCCTGTAAGGATAAGGAAAAAAAAAGAAAGCAGCATAATAGCATAGCCCCATAAAATTTAAAATGGACACAAAGTTTATATATATCTTCAGTGGGGTAGAGAACAGATTGTTAATCAAAAAAAAAAAACCAACCTCCTGTCACTTCTAATTCCAACACTTTTGAAAACTGGATGACATGCATTGATTAAAAGGTTGATGGGCAACTCCTAGCGAGTCAAATGCCTGCGGTGTTTAAAAAGGTGAGGTCACAGTAGGAATTGTTCTGGTTCTGTTCCTGTGGGGTGCATTTCAGTGCTTCCTTGGATTTCTTTTTCACGACCAGCCCCATAAATATACATAAAATGGCTGTCAGTTCAGTTTCACGGTTCTAATTTAAGAGAAAAGAAGCACCATTTTACGAGGTTTCCCACCTCCCCTATTACCCAGCTCCCCCTTCCCTTCAGAACCTCCCCAGTGAACAGCGCACCAAGGTCTTCCCCTCCTTCTACCTTGATTTTTAACCGGTGGTGGAAATGCCATGGTAGGAATCCAAAGAAAAATGCTTGGTGCTGAAAACGGCAGCTTAGTGCAACAGAGAGAATACTGACACATTCTCCACATCACCCATTTCTTAAAACTGTTTTATGTTTTTTTTTTTCTATCTATACATTTACAAAGCACACACCCACCCACACAGACATGCACACACACACACACACACACACACACGCACTGCCTAGATGACTTTTGTGGTGGAATTCTTCAGTAATGAGATTAAATACATTAACCTCCTATTTCAGTGCACTTAACAGCTCTCTTCAGTGAGAGAAATTTTGTATCTTTACACAAGTAAATAAGTTTAATTGATTGATGACCCCCCCCCAAGTTATATTCAATGTAACAGAGCTGACTATCAAGCAGAGGTCTTCAGTTCTTATACACACAGACACAGACTTAAAGGAAATATTTTAACCACTCACCCAAAATTTGTGAAAAATGTAAAACATGCGGATCATCTTCGGAGTCTCAGCCATATCTGACATATCGCTTATTCCCAACGTTCTGCAAAACTAGCCTGGTAGAAGTGGAGAGATCTAAATAGGTCTCATGGAAATATCTCATCACCAACACTCCAAGCATCAGAATTACTGATTATAAGCAGCGATGGCTGTCAGTACTCTTCATCCTTTAGGGGAGAAGACACCCAGGCTGATTAAAAGCCAAGAGAGGTGGAAGGGAAACCCTACCATTGACCTACATCAGTAATTTAATACCCAAATTTCACCTAGCTGGAAACAAATCCCATTTCCATTCCTTCTTGCAGTCTTTCTGACTCCTTGTGGCTTTCTTCTACTAGTCTAAAAGCAATATGAATAGGGAAAATAAATGCATTGTGTGTGTCGGTAGGGGAAGACTAATAAATCATCCAGGCTTAAATGCTGGGATCTTGGAGCAAGCTTGCATTTTCTATCGTCCACCTCAGAGCTCCAATCCTCATGCCACAACTCTGGTTTGGAGGAACGCATCCTAAAAACCGGGAAGTCTCAGTACTGCAAGACATCTCCTGTGGCATCAGGTTCAAGGCTGCAAATCTAGCACTTGCAGCAAAGGCAGTCATGCAGCAAGAAATCGGAAGTCTCGGTGAATCTCTCTAATTCTGACCAGACGTCAACTGGATCGGAATTACTCAAAGCAAAAGGCTTCACTGCATAAAGGCAGAAGAAATCTTACTCAAAGGCATGTATCTAGCATATTCTTTCTCAGCTCGATGAGATCCATTCATCCATTAACCGACAATTCTTCAGAGGAAAAAAAAAAAAAAAGCCATTGAAAACCTGCCCGGTCAGTGTTAAACTCCCAAGCATTTTACAACTTTAATTCAATTATGGTTAGTAAAGGAGGCAAATACAATATTCCCTCCCTCCTGCTTTCTCCCTTTCCCTGAAAAAAAAAAAAAAAAAGTGGGGGAGGGGGATGGGAGGTAAAGAAAATAAAGTTGTAGCTGGCTATATGCAAGGTTGCAATCCCGCCCTGGAAACCCCTCTGTGATGACTGCGTGCTGCTGTTCGCCAGCTCCCTACAGAGGTTCATGCAGGGAGGGGGAGGGGGGGGGGGGGAGCGGGGGAGCGTCTGGCATCCAGAATTGTTCTGCAAAGCTCAACTAATGGAGCAAACCTCAACAAAAGACAGCATGAGAAGGAAAGGTGATTTTATTTTGTATAAACCAGGTCTCACTCATGCATGCTCCATTCTCTCATAGCTTCTACTCGCTCACTCTTTCGTAATCAGAAGCTTGAAGATGTGTCTGCACGTGGTCTGTCCAGGATTATTTGTGGTGACAAAGAATGAGGGAAGTTAGTTATTTAGTTCTTATCCTGTCTTCTGGGTTGTTCTTATTATTGGCAACCACGTGGTTGGTTTTTGAATGTCTCTTTTGCATCTTTTAAAAGTTGACAGTGACTGTGAATCGTTTGTCTCTCCATCTGTCCCACCTCAGTGAGTCATTAGGCAAAATTGCTGATTAATTCATTGTTCTTTTGTCTCTCTTTCTGGGTGTAGGCTGTTGTATTTAGGTTGCCCTTTGCTTTTTTCAATCTAGGTGTTTAGAGAAACTGCAGATAGTTGAGCTTGGGGACTCGATGACCTACTAACTTAAGTGCCCTTAACACACCCTATTGTTTCATCCCTTCTTCCACTTCTTCCTGTTCTCCTATTCCCAGACATTCCCACTCATGCTCTATCCATACCAAGGGTGACATTTCTACTATAGCTCCTCAAAGAAGTGTGTAGTGCTTCTGCTAGGCTGGGATCTAATGGGGCTGGGAAGGCAGAGAACTGAGAAACGTGCTTGATGCCATTTCCTACCGGAAAAATTTCTTGCCGGCTATGGCAGTAACTCAGGCTTGTTTCAGCTGCACAGGGAGCAATGCAAATTTAAACTTCTAAAATTAAAGGTAGCTCATGTGAATGCGCAGGATCGTGACAGGAGAAGCTCAGTACACCTATCTCTTTCAGGGTGATCTCCCTGGGATTTGTACCGAGGAGTCTACCTGAGCAACTTTAGAGGGGCACACTTCTGTAAGATCCTGGAAAGCTTTATAACTTCCATGAGCTAGTGTCTACAGACACTGGTGTAACTATGGATGTTAAGGAGGGAGCCATGGATGAGGTCAAACTTTGCCTGCTATACAGCTACCCATCTTTCTAGAAGTGTGGGAGAATCAGCTGAATCACCTGTATCTCCCACAGGGCAGGAACAATGTCCCAGTGAGTCTATTAGTGTGGGAGCTCACTTTGTCAGGAGATCAGCGATGGGCTACGAACCCAGGAAAGCTACAGTAAACAGGGTCTGCTCAAGGGACGTGTTTTGGCTGGCACAGAGAGACCCTCTCCCTACTGGCAAGGAGGCAGGACCCAATGGGATGCCATAGCTATGCCTATGGGAGGATCAGGAATACCAGGTTGGCTGCATGGGATGGCCATACGCTCCATGCAGGCAAAACCACAGCATGACAGGCTGGAAGTGTTGGACCTTTATATGATGTTATGGCACCCTCAGTAAGTTTGCAGACAACACCAAGTTGGGTGGGAGTGTTGATCTGCTGGAGTGTAGGAAGGCTTTACAGTGGGATCTGGACAGGCTGGATCGATGGGCTGAGGCCAACTGTATGGGGTTCAACAGGGCTCAGTGCTGGGTCCTGCACTTGGGTCACAACAACCCTATGCAACGCTACAGGCTTGGGGAAGAGTGGCTGGAGAGCTGCCTGGTGGAAAAGGACCTGGGGGTATTGGTTATTGGTTATTGAGCCAGCAGTGTGCCCAGATGGCCAAGAAGGCCAATAGCATCCTGGCTTGTATCAGAAATAGTGTGGCCAGCAGGACTAGGGAAGTGATCGTCCCCTTGTACTAAGCACTGGTTAGGCCGCACCTAGAGTGAACTGTGTTCAGTTTTGGGTCCCTCACTACAAGAAAGACATTGAGATGCTGGAGCGTGTCCAAAGAAGGGCAACAAAGCTGGTGAAGGGTCTAAGTCGCCGCCGCTGTGCTGACCGCCTTCACTTTGTTGCCGGTTGGGAAAACTGCCGTTATTCCATTTGCAAACGGAACATGGAGGGTTTTTTTCTGTGCAAAGCTGGCTGTGGCAGCGGTGATGCTTTTTACGTTTAGCTTTAGGTTTTTATTTTCCGCGAAATTACGTATTTGGCTGATCTTCAAAAAAAGGTAATTTAATTGCATAGGTGCAAAGACGTACACATGTTCGCATTTGTGTATTCATTAGTTATGTGCTCTGTACGTTTTAGTATGTAAATTGAATAGGTGTTATGCATACAGGAACACATAAAGTACATCCCGTGTGCACAGCACAGAGGTTGGAATCCAGCTTTAACTCAAATATAATGCTAGCTGTAGTTGTGCCTTCATGGGTTTTCTTATGTGAGTCTAAACACTGAGGAGGGAAGAATACTCTGTACATGATATGTGAATTCACCACATCTGTATCTTCAGCAGACCTCTGTCAACTCCTATCTTAACATCCTAACATGCTAAACCTGGGGATGATTGTAAAGAACCACCTTTTTCTTAATGCTCAGCCTTGACCAAAAGGTGTATTCTTCTCTTTGCAAATGTAAAAGGAGTGTGACTCAAATCTTC